TTTTTTTTTTTTTTTTTTTTTTTTTTTTTTTTGTGATTATATAGACTGAGACGGAGTCTCTGTCCATAAAGATAAACATGCAAAAAAAGAACTTGGCCAATATCCAGCCATCTTGACCTCATGCTTGTTCAATAACCCATATTTATCCTGACAAATAAGCTTTTTACGCACCACTGGGAGTCATGTCATGCTGACCGCAGCAAGCCTGGCCTTTATGCTAAAAATAAACTCCATAAAACATACAGTCTTGAGCCAAAAAGACGACACTAATGATACAGTCACAATCTCAAAAAAAGTGCTGAAAAAGACTAAATACATGTATTCTAAAGGGTTGGAGGATGGTGGGGTCAGACTATGGCAGACTGCAACAATAACAGATGCCTGTCTTCAGATCACAGAACCGTTATTAGCCCCAGGCCCTAGCAGTAAGAAAAACATTTTCCACTTATTTTGTTTTAATCAGCCAGTGGAAAATAATACATAAGATATATTTTTAAGAAAATATATAGACAGTGAAACCTCACCATTCAGGCACCTCCCTCTCCCTCTCTGCTATATAGATGATCACTTAGGCCCAGAGAAACCACAAGTCTAATCTCTGCATGTGCCTTAGTTTATACTTAACTGCAAGACACCCCTTGTTATAATTCAATGCACTTTTTTTTCTTCTTGGTAACTGGTCGAGAGCCTACACTGTACCACATGACCTGCAAATAATTGCCTACAAAGAATCGTCTGCCCATGCATCATCGTCATTGTTTATTCTCCTAGTGGAGAATTGGGCTTTTGCCTCTAATTGCTTCCAGGCTGTCCTATGATCCTCTGAATATTACATCTTCTTTAAGCTCCCTTTCCACTGTACTCCTCCATGTCTCTTTAAGTCGACATGGATTTCTTCTGCCTTCTGGCACCCATGTGAGTGCAATTCAAGGATGTAAATNTCAATAACCCATATTTATCCTGACAAATAAGCTTTTTACGCACCACTGGGAGTCATGCCATGCTGACCGCCGCAAGCCTGGCTTTTATGCTAAAAATAAACTCCATAAAACATACAGTCTTGAGCCAAAAAGACAACACTAATGATACAGTCACAATCTCAAAAAAAGTGCTGAAAAAGACTAAATACATGTATTCTAAAGGGTTGGAGGGTGGTGGGGTCAGACTATGGCAGACTGCAACAATAACAGATGCCCATCTTCAGATCACAGAACCTTTATTAGCCCCAGGCCCTAGCAGTAAGAAAAACGTTTTCCACTTATTTTGTTTTAATCAGCTGGTGGAAAATAACACATAAGATATATAGATATATAGACAGTGAAACCTCACCATTCAGGCACCTCCCTCTCCCTCTCTGCTATATAGATGATCTCTTGGGCCCAGAGAAACCACAAGTCTAATCTCTGCATGTGCCTTAGTTTACACTTTACTGCAAGACACCCCTTATTGTAATTCAATGCATTTTTTTTTTTCTTCTTGGTCACTGATCGAGAGCCTACACTGTACCACATGACCTGCAAATAATTGCCTACAAAGAATTGTCTGCCCATGCATCATCGTCATTGTTTTATTCTCCTAGTGGAGAATTGGGCTTTTTCCTCTAATTGCTTCCAGGCTGTCCTATGATTCTCTGAATATTACATCTTCTTTAAGCTCCCTTTCCACTGTACTCCTCCATGTCTCTTTAAGTCGACATGGATTTCTTCTGCCTTCTGGCACCCATGTGAGTGCAATTCAAGGATGTAAATAATGATCCATTCTAAGGATGTGATCTAGCCATGTATATCTCCTCCTTGCCACCTGCACCCTTATTAGCTCAGTGCCCGCTCTTATTCTAATATCCTTGTTTGTTATGCACATTGGCTGGTAGATTGTTAGTATCCAACAAAGGCTCTTGTGTAAGAACACATCCAGCTTTTTCTCGTCCACTATAGTCATTCACCAGTTTCACATCCATAAAACAGCACTGAGAGTAAATTAGACTTAAAAATTTTGATCTTGGCTGTGCTGTTAACATTGAACGCAGTTATTAGAAAATACAGTATTGTGATTTCATTTTGTCAGTGTCTTGCCGATCAGTTATTTACCTCGGCCTTTGGCAAAGAATTGATCTGCTTTCTACAGACAAATCACAATATTTTCCTCAACCTCATCCCATAATTGTTAATTATTAACATTCAAGTTGCTTGTTTATCAAAGGAACTGAGAACCAAAATGGTTACTTTGTTGCATCACAGGATAGAACTTTGAGAAGGCATTTACAGAAAGTTCCAGGCAAGTACATGTAGTTAGCACAATTTGTTATTTTGTTGAGAATGAACATGTTGGTTAAACTTCTGCTACAATAAGTTTCCAGGTTGGTAGATAATGCTTTGTACCAGATCACATTCTGAAACTAAGGCAAACATTGACTTAAAAAAGCATAATTATTGGCATAATATCTGAACCTAATCGTACCTTTTTGGTACCCTTTGTTGGCATATCAGGGAGTTTGATTGAGCTAAAATTCCCATGGCAAAACCAAACAAACCTGATATGCCACAGAAGCATACCAGAACAGGTACGATTAGGTATGTACTGTTCCCAAGTTTGGCCAAGTGGCCATGATTCCATAACCATATCAGGTCAGTACTAGTGACTTGATATACAGCTGTCTAAACAATAGCCTCCATTTGGTGTGAAAATATGCTCAGTTTTTTTTCCATGGACATTACCTTTTCTGAGAAACGAACAGTTTTCCTGAGAGCGAAGCTTGAGGAAAACTGTGAGTTTAGGAACAGATAATGTCCAAGGATAAATATCCAAGGACGTTTTGATGCCAAATGGAGACTCTTGTGTTTATTATCCTTCAAATATTTTTTGCAACAGGTGCAGTTTTGAAACTTGGGAAATATCACTCAGATATTCCCCAGTTTTAGCTGGGGCATAATTCACTCAACCTCACTGCCAGGGTCTCTCATCTCCCCATCCCACCAATTGCGCACAGGCAAAAATATTTGATGGATTATAATGCAGGATGTCAGGAGAGTAGACATGGCTTCTGATTGGCTAATTGCGAATTTGGGTATGGTAAACAGGTGTAATCATGAACAACTTTTATTTTGCAGGTGTGCCTCTTCTCTTTATAAATCGCAACACAATACTTCTTGAGAAACCTTCAACCACATCCCATCAAGCATCTGAAAAGGTTTGTTATCTCCTGTAAGAAACATGACTTCTTTATCATGTCTATCATGTCTAAGTGGCTAACCACACTAGCGCTTAGTTTCCAACTTCAATTTTCCTGGTATCTTGTTAAGTTAGTCTAGACAAATGGTTCTCCTGTCCAGGACCATTTGTACTCCTGGCCTGCAGTAGTTAAGAGATGTACTCTGAGAGTGAAGCTTATTACCTGAGAACACAATTCAAAGACTGACCCAGGACAGAATCTTTTTAATGTTAGTGCGCTTGCTTTGATTGGTTCCCATTGACTGGAAAGTTTGGGACAGTCCATGGTCTCTCCGAACGTTATGTTCCCCTACAGTACTTTATCTCTCCTCTGGACTCTTTTTTTCTTTCTTATTTTAAGGTTGAAATGTCTCGTCTCCAACCTTCTAAACATGAAAAAGAAACGCTAGAAAAGCTGAGCGACTCCACAACAGAACTAAAACCACGCCGTAAACGAAAACGACCGGGGGGGCCAAATCCACTCTCGGTACTGAAAAGCAAGAGGAAAAAGGACGACAAACACTCAGCTAGCGACGATACCAAGGTAGAATCTTGTTTAGATTTTTTTTGTTTTTTTTTGTTTGTTTGTTTGTTTTTTAAAAAGAATGTCATAATTATCAGCTTAAAGGGACATACATTGCATGATCAACAACGATTTTGGAAGTATACCAATTCAAAGTGTACAATAGAATTAAATTATTTTTGTACAACTGGAGTTCTGAATTGTTCAAATTCTTTAACTCGAGTTACGGTACCTGGCAAACGATAGCCTTCGTTTTGAACATTCCCTTACGAATGGAGAGTTTTTCTCATTTTAGCAGCATATAAATCGGGTTGAGGGCAAGTACACTGTGTGGCAAAAAGGAAAAGGGGGCAGGTATGAAATCCTAATTTTAGCCCAGGGAACGCTAGCTCTTTTGGCTATTCAAAATATTTGTATTTTATCGAGATGGTTTTTTTTTATGTACCAGTGACGTTTTTAGATTCCCTCGCATTTGCTCTTTGTATTTTTCTTGCAAGCGTTACCCCCTGTCAGCCCTCAGACAAATCTACAGAAAGTTATATACATGACTGTTTTTTCCCAGCTAATCTAGAAGTCATCCATGTGAAATGTCTGACTGAAAAACCGTGCAATTGCTTGCGCTGTGATGTAGAATAGATGCGAGATTAGAAAATGAACACGTTGCACGCAAGCCCTTGCGAAAGCCTGAAACGAAGGGCAGATAAGTGTAGTTTTGACTTCTAGTAGCTTTATATTGGTCTTTTTCGTCCCCGTGTGGGTGTGTAATTGTACCTACCTTGAGATAGTGGGCGTTATGTCTCATGTGAAGGGGTGTTATACCTCCGGGGTGTGTAAAAATGACCGCAGATTATCGGGGGATGATAAACGGATTCGGGATTTCCGAGAATATGAGGGTGAGGGAGCCCACGCATCCTGGCGGACTTTGAAATGTGCTAGCAAGATTTTGCTGACCATAGAATGAGTTAGCGTTTTCTAATCGACTTACAAATGCGTTAACTGGATTTCTGGTCAAGATGTTAATCAGATAGTGATACAAGATACTCGATGTTGTCTTATGATGAAAGTCATATACTTCTTTCTTTCTTGTAGAAAAAACGAATTCGTAAAAGAAAACGGAGGAAACTGGCGTCACACGTGCAAGATGCTCTACGGGAACACGTGACTGCAAGTGCCTCATAAGGTCGGCAGAACTCTATTAGTAGGCTGGTGTTATTTATTACAAAAATGTGCAATAGTTTCGGAGTGACATTTTTCTGGAATATTATGATTCCACAATTTCGCCTTTGTGCTCACAGAAAACTTCCTGCCTAAAAGTTCCGAAAGTTTCGGCCCTCGTTATGTTGTGATTTTCCAACGCTGCTATATCTTGGTATAACTTTATCAACTGTGAGAATAAACCGAGCGCCTAAAGAACAAGTTTATTCTTATTTTTATTCAATTACCACAAAAATACGAAATCCGGTTATTTAGACCAGAGACGAAAAGGACTAAAGATTGTTGAAATGAGTTACATCAGAACAGAGTAACATGAAGCCCCTAGTGTTTGTTACTTCTCGCTGTTAATTTCCAAGAAGTGAAACTATATTTGAGGTCCTTACTTTTGGATTTTCGCAAGGGGTCGTTACTTTTGGAATTTAATGGGACTATTTTCAGTTCTGGCAATATGAGCATTTGTTAGCTTTTGTTTAACGCTTATAGTTTCAATATTCAGTTTTTTTTCCCTTGTCGTGATTTTTAACGACACTTTTTGTTCATTTGTGTCCTCGAAAGTCGAATACTTGAACGCGGAAGAAGTCGCTATTAAAAGTATTGCATTTCCGGGCAAAATATCACAAAGATAATCAAATGTTTCTTTCTTTTTTTTTTTTAATGATAGAAAAAGTATTGCATTCAGCGTCGTTCGGTATCACATGCAGATTGTTGTGAGACATACACTGAAACATTGTACAATAAAAACCTTTTTTTTTCTCAGAATAAAGTTTGAAAGTCTCTTGTACAATTTCTGTATTCACGGCTGTAAACTGAATTGTCATGTAAGCGAGGAGTGGAGAGACCAAAAACACCAACAATTGTCATGCAATACTCGTCAATACTGGTTGTGTAAATTCTGTAGAACAGTAATTGCGCTAATGACAGAACCTCTACGGGAAGCGACGTTAATTTTCCGATGGAAACGATGAAAATAAATTGCAATATTGAAAAATTTGACTCGATGACGTTTTCAAGTTTTCTTCCGATTTGTGTGAAATTAATTTTATGAACTTCTTGTTGCAACGTGGACTAATTCCCGTTTTACCACAAAGATTTTTTACGAGAACGTTCTGTAATTTTTCTTTAGAATGTATGATACAGTTTGAAGCTAATATTCCGTATTGTCAATTTCTTCTGACAAATGCTTCACTTTAAAACGTATTTTGGTCTTCAGTAATTTAAGTCGTTTTAGCTTAATCTGTACGTGCGAAATTACAAAACGTATTAATGTACTATCAAATTCACTTCCTATCTTCAATAACAAAAACATAATTTAAGAACACATGTACATGCAATCTGAAGGTTCAAAGAGAATCAGTTACTGTCACGCCAATATGTTCGGAACTTGATATTTTAAGTCAGTTACGTTAGAATGAAGCGACGCATAATATTTACTTATTTTGTGATGGTGTTAGGTCAAGATGATTTCTGATGCTGATGTACGAGGGATAATATTTGTTTTGTGGATTTAGGTGCCATATTTATCTATTTCCGCATTGCATGTTCGTCTGGAAGTTTCTTTTACTTCCGTGTACCTAAGTGGTGAAAAATGTCGTTGACGGAAGTATAACGGCTTTTGAACGTTTGGTTTCCAGTTGGAGGAAGTAATAGTTTTTTTTAGTACCTGTTTAACCAGACAGCTGTAATTTCGTGAATAGTATTTTCAGTTTAGCTCCAAAGTTCAACGCATTCAGATAGAAATATTATTCTATATATGAAGCCGCCTTCCTTGTGAGTCTTAATGGCCCTTTATCAGGTGAACTTTCCTCGTTTACACTAAAATGGAGTTCAGCTTTCTGTCTTACCGCGGTTAGGATGATAACAGTATCATCATTTTAGCGTGGGTTTGGCAATGCAAGCAATATTTTCTCCATGCGTTCATCATGAGAAAATGAGGTCATTTCCTTTTTTTTTTTTTTTTTTTTTT